AACTCCCTGGTCGGTGAACACGCCTACATTAAAGATTTAATTGGCTCTCCCAACCAAACAATTACCGACCGTAACACTACCAGTAACTCTTGCAACATCACCATTAATGAAATGCTCATCCACCATATCACCAATCTCTTGTTTCCATTCCTTATAACAATGACTTTCAATTGGTATCTTATTATCAAAAGGTTGAGTTAAGTAGTCTTTCAAATTGGGTATTGATGGTAAAGATGAAAGTGATGTACAGAAATGGTTTCTTAAAGATGTGCTAATATCTTGCTTGTCATGATCTGTTAAGATGAAGGATGATAATGATGTGAGATAGGCTGTCATTGTCACAAAGATATTACAAGAGCAGCTTTATATCCCCAAACACAATTGGATAATATGAACTAAAAAGTAGATTCATGATAAAGTCATAATAAAGAAACTTTCCCTCCGTTGCTCCTACTCTACCTAACCCAAACGTATCATATCTTGCTTACAAATTGCACTCGAGCTAGATATGCAACATTTCCAATACTACCCTACTCTCTTTTATGTATGAAACCCATATTACTCTCCCTACTCTACCCTATGTACACACTACTCTATGTCCCCAACGCCCGAGTCACAAAGTCGTTACCTCTATCATCCTGTTGAAGGATTTCAAGCTGCCTTTGATTCCAAACAGCTTGCGAAATAAGACCGACATCATACAGTTGCTTCAGTTCTTCAAGGCGTTCTTTTTTAGTACTCATGTTTGAAGTGAAGTGTTTGTAGCAAGATGTGCGCGATGTGATCTAATATACTAACGCCGATCAGTGGCTTAATCAATGACGTATTATTGGGAACTTTCTAGACCTTTTCACAATGTAACTATTGTTCCCCTATATGCAGAATGTGACCAATGATAATCAATGCGCAAAAGTTCGCGTTTGTCTATGATCATCCGCAGTATATGATGAACAAACGAATACTTTATTATAAAAACAGCACGGTTAACTTACTTCAAAAATCAACCACAACGCAATAAATATAGTTAAAACAATACATTTTAAACCAAATCTGTCAGCACTACGAAAAATGCTTACATTCACAAGCGAATTCTTTTTTGGAGTATTTATTGGCTTTGTTCTCGGCCTGTTGCTAAATGGCACAATTTATAATAACCAACTCCATAACATGGGACTATTAACCAAGATCATAATGTCCAGAAAGTTGTCAAAAACGAAACCATCGGCGAACAAAATTTATTCGCCAGATATCGAAACGTTGTGGAACGCTT